AATCTGTACTATTTTCTAATTGTTATCCAACTTAGGTCTCCTAGCTACCTTTATACAAACTCACTGTGCTTTGGGACGTTTATATTCACATTGTTCTTAGGTGCCATCAAGTCAAGTACAGCCCATAGTGACACTATAAACAGCTTATCTGATCCCTGTTCTTTCCTGTGCCATTCTCACACTTCTGACACACAAGAGCCCACTGTGGCAGTCACTGTGTCAATCCACCTGGTCAAGGGTCTTCCTCTTCTTTCTGAGCATCATTTCCCTCGCATCCTAGCAACATGACAGAAGTATTTAAGGCAAAGCTTTATCATCCTTGCCTCTAAAGAACACTCTGGCTGCACCCACTTCAAGACATTTATTTGGCATATTTACATTGAGAAATGCTCAATTAGTCTTCTAATTCCTTTGTCTAGAAATTTACTCATTCTGTACATTCTTCTTCTATTTTTTATAGAATCTGCCAGTTCTGCGATGGATTTGTATGTTAAACCTGCAAGAGTGTCTTCAACTTGTCTGGATGTAGGAAACTGGGAAGCAGGTGTTACAGGCATGAAGGAGCCTAGCATCATCCCACCTGCCTTATCAGGAATATGGCGTGAGAATAAAGGTGAGTGGCCAGGATGCTAACAAGCCCACCTCCCAAAAACACTGTTAGGTAGAAGTAAGCACTGAAATTCGGAAATCTCAAAGAAATTGGAGAAAGACCTTTTTCTCCAGGTGTGGGTGCAAGCAGGCAAATGAATCTGTGATTCCAAACTAGGGCCCGTGGATATTTTGCAAGAAGATGATAGATCTCCTGATGGATAGGGTTTCCCCCAGTGGAAATTCATGAGTGTATCGATTTTAAAAAAGAATCCTCATATTAAAAAAAATAATCTTCATATTTTAAAGGGTTGAAAGTTCTGAAATAGAAAATGCACAGACATAATAACCTGAAATTCCACATAAAGTTAGTAAGAGCTAACATTGTGCCTATCTTCTACATTGTTGGTTTATAAAGAATTTTTTAAAATCATAAAATATTAAAGATGCTTTAGACAAAGTATATTTTCTGTAATAGAGGAAAATGTGACATTGGAAATGCTGCAAATGTCCAGATAAGTGATAACTTTTTTATGCACTTTTAGCTCCATCAATTTCAAAGGTCAAAGACTAGAATGGAATGTTTAAAGATATTAAGTGATTAGAAGAGAATGTTCTATTGGATTAAAATGAAATAATAAAAGATAGTATCATCCTTAATTATCATCTATTGATTATACTTTTCACCTTTAGAGCTCCCAAAGCCCACAGTGCGATTCAGAGAACAGAGCTCCAAGTTAGGAGCTTCAGAAGAGCATCTGCTGTGGAGGCTGCTGCAGGAGTCGCCTGCCGCGGCTCCTGCCACCCTGAGCCCTGCAGCACACAGGCTAGAGCATCTCACGGCTAAGCTTCAGCACATTGATGAACAGCTCCTGGCAATACAGAGCATTGCTGGCAACATCGAGCAGGATTTCCCGCAGCACAGAATGGTAGGCTGCATATGACTAAGGTAGACCCTCTGCTTGCTTTGAATGACCTACCAGATTTGCAGTCTGGTCTAATTTTAGACACTTGAGCTTTTGAAAGAATGGGAAATTTTGTTTAAGACAGAGCTTAATATTGATACTTGAAAAGCTTAAGCCACATTTTTAAAAAGAAAATTATTTGTTTTAATTGTGATTTTAATGAAAGTTTATAGAATAGAATTTTTTTCATTCATTGTTGCATATTTTACCCCCTCTCCCTCCCTTCCCCTTTCCCCAGTTCACTCTTTTTTAAAATACTCATTCATTGTTGCACAAAATACCTCCTTCCTCCCCCCAGTCCCCTTTGCAGTGTTCCTCTTATATTGGACTGTTGTCATATGTAAGAGGAATATACATGATTGAGCACATTTACATTATGCTGCACACTGAGTAACTTGAGCCAGTTTAGGTATTTTTCAGCACCTTTACATGTGAATGTGTGCATAGTCGTAGTAATTACCCCGTGGCTCTGTGCAGGTGTATATATAGCATAAACGATTCTATAGTGAATTTCTACATGGCTATGCCTTTTTTAATACCCGCAGAGCGGCACCTTCAGTCTTCTTCCTCTCCGTGACTGTACTAGTGACTCATGTCTGCACACCTTTGGGCATGTGAGTCACTCCTGCCTCACTCTGCACACAGCTCCATTCCTCTTAGTTATTCTCTCACTATTTCCCCCTCTCCTTTTCTCACCCATCCCTGGCAACCATCAAACTATCTCTTTTTTATGTATAATGGTGGACTCATCTAGTACTAGTACTCTAGTGCAGTTTTCAGAGTCTCTTCTCACATCCATTTTGGTTTTTTTTCTTTCTCCTCTGTCTTTGTAATGACCTTTTGCTCTCTTAATGAATGATATTCTTAAATGTCATCCCTGACGCATCTGGTCTTCCATCATTGGTGTTCAATGCTTCAAACCTATTCTTAAGATGATTTTTAAACTCAGGTGAGATAGACTCAAGATCGTATTTTGTTTCTTTATGGGTTTGTTTTTGTTTTCTTCAGCCTCGGTTTGAACTTTCACAGATGCAAGTGATGGTTTGTTCCATAGTCCACCACTGACTTGGTTTTGACTGCTGATACTCAGCTTCTCCAACGATTGCATCCATAAATGTAGTCAGTCTGATTCCTATGCAGTGCATCTGGGGAGGTCTACGTGTAGGTTCATGGGAAGTTGCTGTTTGCGTTTTGTTTGTTTGTTTTTTTTTTTAAGTATTTGCAATGAATAAATCAGTGAATATACAAAATTTGATTATTCTTTTTCCAGCCTCATTTCTGTCACCAAGTCCATTCTTCCTGTCAGTCCTTCTTTATTCTTTCCAACTTTTGCACCATCAAATGAACCATTGAGTATTGCTTTATTCTTCGTGATATAATTGTGTTTATAATTAAAAAATGATTATATTTTAATTTGTTCTAAAGGCACATTGCCATGGGAAAGTCTGCTGTTAGGGACCTCTCCAAAGTACTGAAGAGCAGTGGTGTCTCTCTGGAGACTAAGGTGCATTTGATACAGGCCATGGTCTTCACAGTCACTTGTTATGCATCAGAGGGTTGGACA